TTAACCCCCTGAGGTCAGGGCTACATGACCCCACTTTACAGGTGTGGAGACTGATTCTAACAGGGGACATAGGCCAACAAGGAGGGGCTTGCCACATGCAGGCTCTGTTCTACGCCTGTTCCCTACACGAACAAACTCATGTAATTCTCATAATGCCAGCCCAGAAGATGTGTGAACTGTTGTCATCTCCACTTTATGGGAGAGGGCCCAAGCTCTTCACCACTATACCACATGGCCTCCTTCAGTGACTTCCCAAGGTCACAAGGCTGGGGTCCAACCCCCTTCCCCACCTGGCTGCCAATCTTCCTCCTATCCCCTCTCTGTTTCCCAACATTCACCCCAATATGCTGTCGTGCCCCATGATCTTTCCCCTGCTGCCTGCACCTCTCACCACCCCCATTTCCATGGGATGAAGCTTCACCACCCTGCAATGCCCAATGCAAGTATCACCTCCTCCACGAAGCCATCCTCCCTCTGGCCAAACGCCTGGGATACATCCTCAGTGCTCAGCCCTCACACTGCACTGACCTTCCTTCCTGTCAAGTGCCCTAACTTTCAGACCATGCCACCTGCCCCACCAATGGAAGCCCATGAAGCAGCAGCCTGACAGGACCCTGAGTCACCCACAGTGGCTGGCACCACATCGTGCAAGCAGCAGACCAAGGCAAAGCTGACACAGGGTTGGCCGCAGGACAGGAGGGCCCACGGGTGCATGTGGGACCACAGGAATGGCTCCTGCGTGGTCCTGGCCAGGGAGAACCTGGCCACAACCAGAGTGTATCAGAGCTCAGCCTGCAAGGGCTACTTTCACTGCCCCTGTCACTCAGCTGGAGTGACAGCTCCTCAGCCATGTGACAGGGACAGGGAAGCTGGCGGTCCCAGAGGAGCTGCTCTCTGCTCCCTCCATTTCCAGCTGGGCAGAAATGTCTTTTCTACTGCCTGAGACACTTCCTATGGAAACACACCCAACACCAGGGACAGGAAGAGATGGGACCCCCATGCATGCAAGTGAGGGACAGAGAGGTGTTGCAGTCTGCAGAGGGCACAGGGACAGGCAGGTGTGAAAGACAGAATGGCCCAGCCAACCACTTGGGACCCCTCGAGCAACAGAAAGAGAAAGTGCTGACCAAAATCAGAGCCCACATGTCCCACCTGGAGGACCACTCCATGCCTGCTAGGACACTGCCCTGCAAATGTGGTTTCCAGTAGCAATGTTCCAAGGGGGACAGTTAGGGCACAGTACTTGAGCTGACTAACCCTGATCTTACCCCAACTGGGTCCACTCTGCAGGACTGCAGCAAGGGACCTGGAAGAGAGGTGTGGAGACCACACAGGCCTGCTGTAAGAGGCAGGCTTTTGGGTCTGGACCCCAGAATGGGCATGGGCCGAGAGGTCGGAAACCTGGAGGAGACCCAGCTCACTCTAGGTCCAGCGAAGTGGCCTAACATCTCAGCTCCTCGCTCTCCTCTCCTGTCAAGAGGGAAAGTACAGATTCTAGGAAAGTGTACCAAAGCACACTGGGGCACAGGGAGTCGGCACAGGGAGTCGACACAGCCCACACTATCAGGATCACCTTGGAAAGCTGTCATAAGAAACTAATTCTAATAAGAGAAAATCATCTGAATAAATATGGGCATTCATCCCAGTTTATGGCGCTAGAAAGAAAATCAGAAGCATCCAGTGAGCAGAGAACAGGGAAGTGGTAAAGTGAACTAAGGTTTGTCTATTCAATGGAACCATTCAAAACATTTTCAAAGGCTGTAATTATATAGAAAATGGTGATGTGTGACATGAACTGAAAAATCACCATACAACTTTACTTGTGTCATTTCATTTTTCTGAGTTGGAATGAAAGTTCAATTTCACATCTTGATATATAAAAATAGCTCTGAATGACCTAAGCACAAAGTATAACTTCTACTTTGCCTAAATGTATTAAATGCTTCATGTTGGGAAAACATGAGAAGATGATAATCAAGGAATTAGCAGTAATGATGTTTATATGGTAGTAAGGGATAGTCGTCCCCCCCCTCATTTAATATTGTTCTCAGACAACAAAATAGAAAAAGAAGTAAATAGGGCTGAGGATGTGGCTGGGGACAGAGTGCTTGCTTAGCACATATAAAGCCCTGGGTTAGATTCCCAGCAGCAAAAAGAAAAAAATAGGAGTGAAATATATTTTCTAAAGTACCTGCGGTACAGAAGGCAAAAGAGAAAGAGGTTCAAACACAGGGCTAGGGATCTAGCTCAGTGGTTCCGCTGCCTACCTCACAAGCACAAGGTCCCAAGTTCGATCCTCAATACCAAAAAAAAAAAAAAAAAGAGGTTCAAACACATTTCTGGAGCCCCAGACAGGACCTCCCAAATCCTAACTCCCCAGCTTGACTGGCACCACCTACTCATCCTCACTCTCCTGGAGGGAAAGAATGCCTGGGAAGAAAGGAAAATAACTAAAACAGAAAGAATGCTGTTATTACACTAGAACAAAACCATCAACCAAAGCACAAAACACTAATTAAAAAAAAAACCTGAATACATAAAAGGCAGCAATAAAGATCCATGATCAACTCAAGTCAGTGCTAATGACATCTGAAAATGGCGTGTCCTCTGGAAAAATCCCAGGCATTCCATTCCAAAGGACAGCCCGAGGGACCTGGCAGAGTGGGCAGGTGCAGCACAGCCAGGCTTCCCTGCAGAATGGCCCTGAGGCCACAGGAATCCCCGCACTGCCCAAGTTACTTCCTGGCTTCCTCCTAACCCTTCCCTTACCAAATGGTCTTAGGAGTATGTAAAAACCAATCTCCAGAAGTGCATTCTCATTCAGCTAAAGGCTCCAAGAAAAGATTGGGATTTTGGGCTAAAATTCCTTCTACCCCTCATGCCACCCACAAGGCCCAGAAAGCCCAGCCTGTCCACAGCAGAGCTCTCTCTGCATACATGGCCCTGATTAAAAGCCCGGCCTCCCGGCAGAGCAAGACCAGAAGGGCCAGGGAGGCCTTCCTTGATAACACTTCTCACTGGCTGGAAAGCCAGAGGCAGGGTGGCTGGGCAGCTCCTTGCCTTGTCACCTGTCCTTCACCATTCATGGCCTGGTCTTCCCCATAGAGGGGTGGTGGTGGGTGGTGTTTCTCTTCCTGCAAACCAAGGGAGCTGCCTTTTACCTCCCACTGGGCACTCTGGGGCACAACCCAGGTGAGCTCAGCACCCATGGGAAGGGACCCAGTGGCTGACAAGAGGGAGGTAAGGAGAAGGCCAGTGTGCTTCCTCCAGACCTCTCCTGCCCTTTGGCGGCAAGGCTTGCCCAGCATGCAAGAGAGAAGCACTGGCCAGGCCCTTAGGGCCCAGCTCGTTGAGCCATGGGACTCTTTGACCACAGAATCCTACACCAAAGCCTGAGCACGATGGACAGTTAGGTGTGGGTGAGGACATGGGAGAGGGGGTGTGGGTAGAGGCCTCTTCCCCTGGTTCCGCAGAACTGGACAAACCCCAGGGGGTGTACCCTGGATCCTCAGAATGGAGACTGAAACAGCTCACTGGTGCAGCCCCTCACTCTACAGGTGGGGAAACTGAGGCCTAGGAAGATAAAGCGGCTCAGCCAAAGCCACATACACAGCCGGTGGCAGAGCTGGGACCAGCACCTACATTCATCTTCCCCCTGGGATTTAGGAGAACAGGGACCCACCCTTCTCAAGTCCGAGTTGCCCATTGTACCTGCACTGGGCCTACTCAGAGAGGCCCCATGTGAGCTACCTGATGGGATCGGAGGAGCTCCCATTTGGAGAGACAGGATCCAAGCCAGGCAGACCTGGATGCAAATCCCAGCTCTGTCACTTAAATGGCTATAGAACCCTGGGCAGGTGACCCAACTACTCAGATAGCTCTACCTGTCACCACCCAGGATTGTGGCGGATGTGGTGAGCTGATAGAGTTGCACCTGGACAACAAAATGAAGCATCATGGACAACAGGTCTTCTCCTTGTGCCCTTCCAGTGAGCCTGTCTCCTCTGTTTTTCAGACTCTGCTCACTGGGTCCCTGGAGCCCTTGCCTTGCAACAAGAGAACATTCAGGGGTGGGGACAGTCCCAGGCACTGTGGATGGGCTTGCTTCTCTGGGTGACATGATACCTGCCAAGAGACATGAGGTGCAACTCCTGAGTGTCTGGTGGACCACTGGCTCCTGACTCCTCTTTCACTTCCGCTCTGCTGGGTGAGAGCAGCAGGCCTAAACCAAGCGGCCTGAATGTTCTCTGGGCTATCCAGCCCTGCCAGGTCTGGAAGTTGTCTGAAAATCAACTAGCCCCGAGGCTTCCACACACATTCCTCACCCCTAAGGCCTCAGGCCGTGGCCCACTGTGACCAGATGCTGAATGATGGCCAGGCCAACAGAACCAATCAAGACCACTGGGAGGAGAATCCAGCCCACAAAGGTGACCCCTTGAAGGGTTCCAGTCAAGGACAACTGCTACTGTCAGCAACCCGCCCCAAGCTGCACCCATCAACAGACCAGACAACTGTACCTCTCCTTCCCTAGGGGGACAGAAGCCCAACAGATCCTTTTAACACACATTAGAGTTTCAAAACAAGTCCTGCCAGGTCTATAATTGGTGCTTCTCAGGTCCGGATTTGAGCTTTGAAAATCAGACAAGTACAGATTCAAATGAGACAGAATATCTTTGGATGGTAGCTCTGTCATTTTACATATGAGCAAACTACGTCCTGGGAAAGTGGGGTCAGGAGAAGGTGCTGTGTGTAAGAGCCAGGGGCAGAGCTGCAGCCCCTGGGCCCAGGGACACCACACTGCATAATTCACACCATGTCCTTAGGACTGGAGCTACACAACCCGGGGCCTGCCTGTGATTCTTAGCATAGGGGGCCTTGTGGCCCATGGGATGGCTCCTTGCCCTGTCCCACATCTCAGTGGAGCTCCTCCTCTGGGATCAAGAACTGGCTCCGTGCACACAGTCAGATACCCGGGGCTGCTGCTCCCAGCACCGTGTTACCTTTGGGCATGATCTGATGCATGGCAACAGAGAGAAAGAAGATGGAGTCGCTGTAGTAGGTCCCTGAGCCAGCACTGAAGTGCTTCTGCATGGCCTCCACGACAGGGAAGAGCTTGTCCGTCAACACAGCCACATCGTGGAAGATGACCTGTAGTGGGAGCAGGAAAACCGCAGCAGTCAGCCAATCAGACCTCACCTTGGGCTGTAGACACCCAACACACACCTGCACCCAAGAGGCAGGAACAGAGACGGCCTCTCCAGGGTCTGCGAGCAGGAGCTGAGGGTGGAGGGGGAGCAAATGAGAGTAAGGAAAGGCTTGGGGACAGGCACATGGAGGGGGGTGAGCAGGGGAAGAGAAGTGGGAGGGAGGACAGGGAGGGGAAGGGCTTTCTGCTTTTGAACCTCAAGCCAAGCCACCCTGAAGGAAGCTGTGTGTCCAGGGACAGAAAGCCACACCAAGGCATCAGATTATGGAACTCGGGATCCTCGGCATGACTTGCTAATGTTGCTCTGGGCACTGTCATCTCCTAGGGGCCACTGCATGTATGCTGTGGGCCCATCAGATGCCCCAGCTCCATCTTCCTTGTCCAGGAGTATGAACAATGAGAGGATCTGGCCACCAGGAAATGCTAAGTGCTGAGGGAAACTCACCGCTAACTCAAGCCACACTCCTGGAGTATTCACTTAGACCCTCTGAAGGTGCTGTAAGAGGTACAAGGAATAACCAGCTACCCTCTTCCTCAAAGCACTCAGAGTCCAGGGGAGCCATCAGCTTTGCAGTTATGAGATACTCTCACATACGCACCCTGATCCCCATGACAACCTCGGCTCCAGGGAGGAGACACACTGGTCCAGCCTCCAAATTCCAAGTGAGAGAGGAGATGCCCAGAATGATCCTTCTGCCAAAGTCACACAGCTAATAAGGACACACGGTCAGGACTTGACTTTTTTTTTTTTGGTACCAGGGATCAAACTCAGGACCTTGCGCTTTCAAGGCAGGCAGCAGAACCATTGAGCTAAATCCCCAGCCCAGTCAGGACTTGACTTTGGTCGTGGATTCCTGGCTCTATGTTCCTTCCAATATAAATACTTCCTCTCCTCAACAGTAACCAGCAAAGGAGGGGGATATCAGCAATTTCTAAGATGGAAGTACTGACCAGACCCTGGGTTGGTTTTCCTATTCGACAATATTCCAAAAGATCAGAAGTCCATCCCATAATAGCTGCAGCCTCAGATGATACCACTTGACCCTACACTCTGCTCCTGTCTCTTACAGGTTTTCCCTGTGGCTCCACATTCCCCACAGCACCCAGAATGCTCCACTACACAGAATAGGCACTCAAACCAGAAGCCTGGGTGTTTCTCCTCCTTCCTCTGCCTTCCTTGGAGGTCTACTGCTGGTTTCTTTCTACCACCCACCTCCCCAGTAGCAGACAGGACAAGATAAGCCCACCAAATGCCACCTGGCTGCTCCATCATCACTACACCAATGCCAGGCCCAAGAACCCAACTGAAAAGATGCCAGCAGCAAAAGATGAAGCCATGTGTGATGGCTAAAATGGATTGTCAACCTAAATGGCTTTGGGATCCACCTAGAAGAATCTGTAGAGTACTTCTGGGTGCTGGGAGGGCTGCACTGTAGATCACTATGGCCAGGCCTAACTCACTTCCTCCTGTGGACAGGCAACAAGAGGGCGTGGCAGAGTAAGGCCTGGTGGAGAAGAAGACTGTCTTCCTCCTCAACTTATTCACCAGATAAACATCAAACATAATGTCCTGCAGACCTTAGCTACTCTCCTGGCTCAGTTACAGACCAGCTCATACACTTCCTTTACCTTTACCACTATAAATAAACTTGTGACCATTTGCCTGGGGTCTTTTCCTCCCATCAGGAGTTAGAGCCCCACCTGGTCCTACCTCTACCTTATTATATCTCTTTGTCTGTCTTTCTTAATCTCTCACTGTCATTTCTCATTCCATAAACCCTTCTGCCATGTGGGCTCTGACATCTGGGTGTGTCTGAATGGGTCATGAAGGTATGACCTTGGGGTCTATATATGGTCCCTCACCCTTTCCTCTCTGGCACTGTTCCTATGCTCTGCTTCCCAGCTGCCATGGACTCAGTAGCTTTGCTCCACCATGATGTTCCTTCTTTGGAGCCTGCCAACCAATGGACTAAAACCCTGAACTAAATTAAACTTCTCATCCTTAAATTGTAGGAATTGTATCCCAGAAATAAGAAGCTAACTAATACAGAAAATTGATACTAGGAGTGGGGTCATTGCTGTGGCTGAACCTGACCATCTCGTTTGGAACTGCTTTGCAGAAAGAGTTTGGAAAGGTTTGGAGATGCCAGCTAGAGAAGCCTTAGAATGCTGTAGGTGATTCTGGTCAGAGCTCAGAAGATCAAAATGCTGACAGGAATGTGGACAGTAAAGGACAGGCTCAGATGGTTTCAATTGGGAACAAAGACCTCATGGGCAGTTGGACTAGAGGCCATGTGTGTTACATTCTGTCAAAAACAATCTGTCCACAGTTTGCCCACATCCTGAGATTTTGCAGGAGACTGAGACTAAGGGGAGGAGGCTAATCAATCTGGTGAAGGAAATCTCAAGCCCGAATTTCAACATCCAGGCTGTGGTACAGGTACTGGCAGGTGCTTTTATCCAGATTAATAGTGAGAATCTGGGGCAAAAATGATAGCAGAAAAATCTGAAAGACTTAAATTTGGCCCCAAAAGGAATGAGTTGAAAAGGTGGGACCAAAGTAGGTGTGCCTGCTGAAGAGATTAGCAGCATTAAAAAGAAACTAAGTATTTTATACAGGGAGAAGGAATAAAATGCTTTGAGGGCATCTCAGAAATCAGCAAGACCCCAATCATGGCATGCTCAAGGGTGCAAAGCATAAACCTTTCATCTGAGAAGATAGCCATCCCCTGGATCCCTGCTCAACAAGGATTGCCTGGGGAATGTGTTTGCCAAGATTTGTTTCACTTTGTTCATCCATCTAGATGCTCAGAGGAGGGGTGGTGGTGACAAACCTTGGCATCATCAATGTGATACTGATTTTATTGCCATGCACACTACAAGAGTTGTGGGATCAAGAAGGCATCCATCCAGATTTCAAAGAAAGGCCTTCCAGGAAGGCCATGCAAGGAACCCTTGAGAAAGCAGTGTGTGAATCTGTGGAAATGAAGGCAAAGGTACAGTGGAGAACCAAGAAGTCAGAGGTTCCAGGACCATCTGCCAAGAAAAGCTGCTGACAGCAAGCAAAGCCAGCCCAAGAGAGAGCCCATATAGACTGCAACCAGCAAGGCCATAGGAGTGGGGTCACCCAAGCCCTTGGGAATGTGCATCTCACCACCATGTGCCATGGATGCTGGATATGAACATGTTTGTCCTGCTGGATTTTGGTCTTGTGTAGGTCCGATTCTTTTCTATATCCCCATTTCTTCCTTTTGGAATGGGAATATTAAGCCTGTACCATTATACCTTTTAATTATGTAACTTGTTTTTTTATATTCACAAAAGTTCACAGCTAAGAGTTTGCTTTGAGTTTCAGAGCAGACTTGGACATTTAGCAATGCTGGGACTGCTAAAACTTTGGGGGAAGATTAGCGTGTTTTGGTTGTATGTATGATCCTTGTTTCTTGTATCATGTTGAGGTGGAGTTATGACCTTGTATTTATTTGAAGAGTAAGTATAGTTTAAGAAGATATATTTGGGTATCATATTGAGGAGTGGGATGTGACAGTTAAAGCAGAGCGTCAACTTGATTGGCTCTGGGATCCACACAGGGGATTGGTCAAACACACTTCTGAATGTTTCTGAATGGGTCTTGGAGGTGTGACCGTGGGATCTATATCTGGTCTCTCACTCCTTCCTCTCCAGCACTGTTCCCCTGCTCTGCTTCCTGGCCACCATGAACTGAGCAGCTCTGTTCTGCCACATCCTTGCACGATAATGTTCCCACTTTGGAACCAGCTGATCATGTACTAAAACCCCCCTGAAACCATGAGCTAAATTAAAGCTTTCCTCCTTTACATTGTGAATGTCCAGTATTGTGCCCCCAAAATGGGAAAGCTGACCAATCCACCCTGTGAATCCCCTGACCAGCCTGTTTATCTTGATGGTGGCCCTGCCAACAGGAGAAAGAACAAGTGTAGACACTGCTTGAGAAGTTCTCAAACAGATGGACTCCATTCCATCATTTACCTTCAACCTTGCCCTTGATTCTGCCAGGTTACTAATGTCACCTACACCTCCAGAGCCTTTTGTCATCATATTCCAGACCTGCAATGGCCATAAACTGACGTTTCTGCTCCTCTCTACTTTTGGTTCTGCTTTTGACCTATATTTTTCTTATATCTCATATTTCCTATATATCTTATTTCTCATATATTTCTCTTTAACCTATAGTTCTCTTAGTTCACATGTTTGCTTTGGTCCTTAGTTCTTCAATTTCCAGAACACTATTAACCTTAGAAAAACTTATATCCCATGTTGGTTCTCATCATTCACTAAAACTTGTTTTATGTTAACTCTAAAAAAGCCTTTTGAAAGTTTCTTAACATTTCTGAGACACTGTTTTGCTTCATGCCTTTTCTGGCTGCCTGTTTTCTTTGAATCTGACTTTTTCTTTTTTGTGGCCTCTCAGCCTGAGATAAGGAGCCCAGTCTATTCCCCAACATTAATCTCAAATTATGTCTCTCACCTCCTGCACCTGTCTCGTGGCTGCCTCTCACCCCTGTGACTTCCCTGGCAGGTTTACCTCATCTTTCCCAACAGCCCTTGTTGTACCTCTATAATCACATATACAATTTTCACATATACAATTTCTGTTTCTCTCCTTGGCTTCAAAACATCCAGTGGCTCCTCCTTGCCAGTGGTTACAGTCCAAATTCCCCAGCAAGGCTTAGGATCATCTGCAGTAGTGGCTCTGTATCCCCTCCCCTGGGGACTGGAAAGAAATGAACCAGGTACCCTCAATCCCTGGTGAACTCCTGTGCAGTCTTTTGACCTTCCCATATCATCCATATCCACCAGACTCTTCCTGTACCCCATTTCACAGGGGATCCACTGATTCTGTGGGACTCACCCTCAAGGTCTGTCTCCATATCTGCAAGATGGGGTATTCCTGAGACCAGAG